CTATGATTCCTACAACTTTTAATTCTCACGGGACTGGCCACCTAGGCTTAACCTAGTAGAGAGTGGGCTTATATAATCAGAGAACTTATGATAGCGACACCAGCAACTCACCTCTCACCAATAGATCTACTCTTACCAGAAATACAAAGTCAGTGACTTTGAACTTTCCACCTGAAATTAATTTATTAATTTAATTAAATGAGTTTAAAGTTAGCAAATGCTTTTATATAAAATGATCTTCACAGCTACAAAGAACAGACTTGAACTTCTTAGAATTTGGATTTTACTAAACTATATATTTAGGAGCTAATGGCTACAGTTTATGTGTAAATCAGTTTCTAAAGTAAAACCCTTATATTTATTTTCACAATTTATGACGTTGACGCCCTAGCTGGCTTGGCTCAGTGGATAGAGCATTAGCCTGCGGACTGAAGGGTCGCAGGTTCGATTCTGGTAAAGGGCATGTACAATACATTGGTTGCGGGCATCCCCAGTGGGGAGTGGAGTTTACAAGAGGCAGCTGATCAATGATTCTCTCTCATCATTGATGTTTCTCTCTTTCTCCCTGTCCCTTCCTCTCTGAAATCAATAAATATATATTAAAAATAAAATAAAATAAATTCATGACATTGACCACAAAAACCCTGAGGTAGATTGAGATTTAAAGTAAAAAAAATAAATTAATTAAAAATTAAGGGGGGAGGAATGACATAATCTGATTTACGAAATGAATAACTAAACAAAGACAACAACCCTAAAACAGCAAAATACTATTTTATAATTTACCTTTAAGCCTGAAGAAAACTCTACCATTTCTTCTGCTTGAACATTCCTCAGCCCATGTACTCTGGCAATACCATCACCAATACTTAACACTCGCCCAGTCTCTTCAAGGTCAACAGTGGTATCAGCTCCAAGAATTCGCTCTTCAAGAATAGAGGACATCTCGGCAGTGCCTATTGAGAGCAATTCCATTACAAATACTAATCTGGCCCCAGTTTCTTTTCAAAGCCTATTTTCATAACAACATGAATAATATAGCTTTGTGATCATAATGATCAAATTATACTCCAAAATGCAATATTTATATAGCTCTATTCAAAAAAGCTTGAGACCTAAGAAAAAGAACCCAAGTGATTCAGAGAAAACTTCACAAGACAGATAAAAAAAACTAATAAAATTAAAATATCCTTAAAATAAACTTGCAAGGGCAAATTCATAGATTAGCAGCTATTTGCCTTTGAGAAACATAGAGGTAAAACTGCTATTTTTTGTAATTCTTTTTAGGAGAGGAAAAAAATCTTTCATAGATTAGAAAGTGTGTCCACCACCTGACATGTGCACATTCTGTTTCCACCCAAGGAGACATTATCAGAAGCTGTACTAACATCAAAAGAGAACTATATAAAACTGTAGTTCATTTCACTAGAACAAGCAAACCTACCAACATGGTAAATGGCACATTGTGGGTTAAGAATCTGAGGTTCTGCCGGGCAGGTGTGGCTGACCTATGAATCAGGAGGTCACAGTTCAATCCATCCATATCAGGGCACATGCACAGGTTTCAGCTTGATCCCCGGTAGGGGGTGTGCAGGAGGCAGCCGATAAATGATTCTAACTGACGTTTCTCTCTCTTTCTCCCTTCCTCTTTGAAATCAATAAAAAATATATTTAGAAAAAGAAGAAAAAAAATCTGGGGTTCCGCAGTAACTAAAATTGAGAGAGAAAAATTAACAAGTAGGGGAAAATGCCTGCAACAACTATGCAGCTAGTAACTTATCTTTCATTTAATGAGAAGGTAGTAAGTGTGGTGTAGATTTAGAAATAATGACTCACCAGTCTTCTGAAGAAGAGTGTTAGAGGCATGGAGATTCCTTGTAGCAATGAAGGATGATCCCAAAGCATTTTTGGAGACCTAGGGCAAAAAAATATGTTTTTTAAATCTGGTTTTTAAAAGGGCCTTTATAAAACTGGCTAGCTTGAATGCAAGCTTAGTTTAATCAAGTTATCTATTAAGATATGAATTATACTGGCCAGCGTGGCCTAATGGTTGTGCATCGACCTAAAAACCAGGAGGTCACAGCTGGATTCCTGATCAGGGCCCCACACTTGGGTTGTGGGCTTGGTTCCCAGTGTGGAGAGTGCAGGAGGCAGCCGATCAATGCTTCTCTCTCATCATTGATGTTTCTATCTCTCTCTCCCTTCCGCTATGAAATCAATAAAATAAAAAAATACTTGTTTTTAATCAAGAAAACAAAAAACTGCCAATGTTGAAATTTGATTAGAAACTAATGCTACCAGCGGTTGTGTTAGGGCAGTGTCTATTTCATCCTTCAAGTTGAGACTACTTTTAAGACGGAAAAAAAATAAGTAGATGTAAAAGCGCTTACATGGGATTTAAGCAAGGGTTATGCTCTTCACTGAATGAGAGAGAAGTAATGAAGGTCACTGACCTTTACAGGTATTTCCCAACCTATGTTCTATTTTCCTCGAGTCCTCAAATCACTGCCTCACAATTCCCCAAGGACGGAATCTTACAACCTGTCCAGGTAGCACAAAGCCAGCTCTCCTGCTGGCCTAGGCCAGGGCAGAAGCCGGCTTCCCTGCAGTCAGGGCACGGGCCACAAGAAATGCACACCCGACCCGCGTCTGTGCTGGATTCTCAGCATCGTTTCAGCAATCAGCACTGAGAGGTCGCCCACCCACGTATCCAGAAAACCCCCTTCATTCACCGCTCCCCTCTGCACTGACCTCCGGGCAGCGTGACCTTCACAGGCCGGGCGCTCGCGGCTCGCTCTGACCTTCAGCGAGGGGGGCCCCGGAGAACCAGCGGGGCCCGGCCACCCCGTTTCCGCCCCGGCTCCGGACAGCTAGCGCCCAGGCCCTGACCTTTCCCCAGGCCCTTCGCGAGCTGCTCTCAACCCAAGAAGGGAATCCTCCTGGGGCCCCATCGCTGCACAGCATCAAGGTCACTGTCTCCCCTGCACCTCCCTGCACCATCTCGCACGGATGGCGAACACAAAGGCCTTTCCGCCGTCCTCCTAGTCCAGCCGGGCCCGGCCGAGCAGCCAGCGGTGCAAGATGGCGGCGCCTGCCACAGCCCCTCGCCCTCCTTTGCAGAAGAGCTCCCGAGCCAGCAGCGCCCGCCAGCGCCCGCCGCCGCCCGCACGGGCCGCCCCCTCCCGCCGGTGCCCGGCGCTCACCAGGCCGGCCCGCCGAGGGAGGGCGCGGGCTACGGCCGCGGCGACGCGCACGGACAGCATCTTGGCAGCTCCTGGAAGTTCCTCTGCAGCCGCAGCCTCGGACGGACTGGGACAAAATGGCCGAGCGGCGAGGAAGGTCAAGGCAGCCAGCCCACCTGACCCGGAAGTACCGCCCCTCGCCGTCACCTCCCGGATGCAAATCTGCCTTGCGCGAGGTGGGAGTGGTTACTTTTTTTTTTTTTTTTTTTTTTTTTAGGTATTATTTTTAGAGATGTAAAGTTCAAAATGAATGATTAGACCTTTGCCAGCGTCCGCGCAGGCATGGCTTACACGTTTACTTTGGTCTTTGCAGCTGACCTTGTGCCTGCCCAGGGCGACCACGTGGGCAGCGGAGCCGGCCAGGAAGCAGCTCCCGGGCCACGTGACAGGTGACAGGTGCTGTGGATGCTGGGTCCGAGGGCGCGGCAGGCAGGCTGTCCACGAGGCCGGGTGGAGGTGTCAGGTCGGAGGCTGTCACCACGAAACAGTTTTCTGCAGAAAGAGGCGATTCTCAGATCCACGGGGCCCCTCCCCAAGCCCTCTGTGTCAGAAACGTTGGGCTCTGGATTTTGACAAGCACCCGTGGACGTGGACGAAAGACGGGCCACATACTAAACTCGACAAGCTCAGGGGAGGCCTCTATGTGTGTGTGGTTTTAATGTGGAAATACGTAACATAGTGTGTGTCTAATTTACAGGGTTCCTGTAACAATGAAATCGCATGGAAAAGTATGCATTGCAGTAGCAGTGTCAAGAATCACGCACAGTGTTATTAGCTACTATCATGAAGAGGGGAGAGAACTTTCCATGGAAGAGTAGCCGAGTGGCGGCGCTAGCAGTTGAATGCCTTCAACAATTTTATTTTATCTTATTTATTTTTTTAATTCTCACCCAAGAACATGTTTCCATTGATTTAAAAAAAAAAAAGGGGGGGGGGGGGAGAAACATCGATTGGCTGCCTTTTGTATGTGCCCCAAGGGTACTAGTATATGCCCTGACCTGAATGGAACCTGCCATCTTCTGGTATAAAGAAGGAAGCTCCAAACAATTGAGCCACACCAGCCAGGGCTGTCAGCTATTTATTTTAAAAGTCTCCAGCACATTTAGCTCTTTGGTAGTGGAGACTAACGGATAAAACTAAGGTTGCTACAGTTTATAATGCCGAGGTAAAATAAAAATTAAAGCTAATGCACACAAACATCTGCTATCCAAAAAACAAGTTTCAGGTGTTTTTTTTTTAAGACAAGCAATTTAAGTTAGTAATCCTATATAATAAAGAGGTAATATGCAAATTAGCCCTCATGCCATCACAAGGTGGCTGCCTACAATCAGGCTAGCAGGGGGGTTAGTGAGGGATGGCCAAACAACTGAACAGTAGGCTGTAAGGGGCGACCATGCTGGCAGGGGGAGCAGTTGGGGGTGACCAGGCTGGTGTGGGGGCATTAGTAGTGACCAGGCCAGCAGGAAGGGGACAGTTAGGTGCAATCAGGCCAGCACGCAGAGGCAATGAGGGGCAATCAGGTCAGCAGGGGAGGGGGAGGAGAGTTAGGGGCGACCAGGCAGACAGGCGGGTGAGTGATTAGGAGCCAGCGGTCCAGGATTGTGAGAGGGGTGTCCGACTGCCAGTTTTCTAGATTGGAGAGGGTTCAGGCTGAGCTGAGGGACCTCCCTCCTATGCAGAAATTCCGTGCACCGGGCCTCTATATAAGAAAACACAGCCTGGCTTTATGCGATTCTATTCTCATCCTGTAGATTATGCCATGGAGGGCAGAAGGCGAGACAAGGTGGCCAGCAGGGAGAGACTTGCAGTGCTGGCCTTGCAGCAGCCTGGAGTCCTAGTGAAAACTACAACTCCCAGAAGTCCCGGGCCCCTAAGAGGCTGGACCCACGGGGTGTGGGCGGGACCTTCAGAGCGAGCCCAGCAATTCTCAGGCGGGAGCTGCTCCTGAAGTGGCGGGAGCAGCCGCTATGGAAGAGCCGGAGGAGAAAGAGGCGCAGGTAAGGGGCAGGAGCCGGCATTTGCCAGCGGAGTCTTTGACACACCCGCCCGCAGGGCGGATCTCCTGCTAGGTTTACTAGCCTAGTCCAGAGGCCCATGTTTAGTCCGCTTCGCGCTCTTTGATTCCCCTTTCTACTTGGACCGCCCTGGAAAGGGCTTTTCCCTTCCTTCCCCTGCTTAGTCTTGCGCTCGGAGGGGAGTTGAGGAGCCCCCTGGTACAAAAATCCCTCCCAGCGACTGAAGGGGGACTTCTGAAGGGGGATGCATGCAAGAATGTAGCCTTGAGAGTAGCTAATCTTGTCCCACAGTTTGAACCGAGGCGCTGTTTGAATCAGAGGAGCCAACAATCTTGGGGTTTAATCACCAGGTACTCTCATAAATTGTGGAAGGCCATAGCAAAGAAAAGGAAAGATCTGTTTTTTGTCCTTACACACTCCTGACCTGCATCCGTGGCCCACATCCCAGCCCCACGAGCCTCTGTGGGGCTTGTGTATTGTGGACAACCCCCTTTTTCAGAGTTTGCATGGGTAACTAATGCTTTAGTTAGCACATGCAGTTTGATCTTTTAAATTATTTGAGTGGTGCAAGTTACTGGCCTATGTGCCGCTTTTGTTCCCTTTGGAAAAGGATGGATTGTTTTCTGGTCATTTTGTTCCTTGTGATTCCTCACTTATTTCCTGACATCTGGTATGTATCTTCTTAAAGACACTTTAGGATGTGAAGTCAGTAGGACTTCAGGATATTCTTAGAAAGCATTTTGTTTGCTTCTGATTGCTTATTTGTAATACTTCCTTTGTGCTGTTACAGTAAACAAGACTTAAAGTATTTGCCTTCCTTTTTATGGTTAGGTTGCTGCGTGGTTGAAAAAGATGTTTGGAGATCATCCTATTCCACAATATGAGGTCAATGACCGGACCACAGAGATTTTACATCACCTTTCAGAACGCAACAGGGTCCGGGACAGGGATGGCCACCTGGTAATAGAGGACCTGAAACAGAAAGCAAGTGAATATGAATCAGAAGGTGAGATTAATTCCAGAGTTTTTGAATGAGATGATAATCAGAAGGAACCAAATTTTATAACACTAAAGTATACAAGAGTCATTTAGTGTAGAAAAGTTTTTGGGGTTTTCTTGTTTGTTTTTAGAGAGGAAGGGAGAGGGGGAAAGAAAGAAACATCTATGTGAGAGAGAAACATCTCACACCTTGTCCCATACACACCTTGACTGGGGATGGAGCCTATAACCTGGGCATGTGCCCTGACCCGGAATTAAACCCGAGACTTTTCGGTGTATATGAGGATGCTCCACACTGGCCAGGGCTGATGTACCATGTACATGAAATGTCCATAATAGACAAATGAGTGGAGACAAAATGCATATTAGCGGTTGCTAGGGCTTCACGGGTTGGGAACTGGAAAATGATTACTAAGGATTGGGGTTTCTTTTGGGGGTGATGAAAATGTTCTAAAATTGACTGTATTGATGGGTATGCCACTCTTAATATACTAAAAGCCATGGAATTACAGGTATGTATACTTGAGGCGGGTGAATTGTATGATATGTGAAAGATTTCAATTAAACTGTTAAAAATTAAAAGTAAAACAAAACAAACATCTAGAACTATTTTATCTTTTCAGCCAAGCATCTTCAAGACCTTCTCATGGAGAGTGTGAATTTTTCCCCTGCCAGTCTCTCCAGCATTGGTTCTAGGTATCTGAATGCTTTGGTTGACAGTGCAGTGGCCCTTGAGGTAAAGGATACCTCAGTATCTAGGTAATTTTTACAATAGTTTTTATTTCTGTAATCATATATGTTATAAGGTCTTGACCTAAGAGACTGTTTAAACACTCAGTGTAATTCTATGTGGGAAATGAACAATAAGTGCCCAAACACTGAATTTAATTAACTCTTTATCATTGCCAGTGAGTATGTGTAATTCATTCAGGTAAACTTGGTATTGGTTAAATTTTAGTGTTTTCTCCTTCTAGGATCAGGTTTTTTGAAGTTTGATTCACATGTATATTTGGAAAGATATTAGGTACCACTTACATTGTTCCTTATAAGTATACCATGAGAAAAGTCGTAGCTTAAATCATCTGGTTGAGCATACTGAATTTTGGTTATGTTCCTACCCTACGAGGTAGAGTAGTTTAAGGACCTTTATTCTTTGTGACAGGCATTTCACCTGTATAAAGACATTATTCTTCCATTAACCCAAGAGGAAACTGACGTTCAGGAGGGGTGTTAAATAACTTCTCTGAGCTAGTAAACGGCAGAGTTGAGGTTCAAACCCTGTCTGACTCCCAAGTCTATATGAATATCATTGGTGGCCATATCTTAGCTAGGATGACAATTATAACTTACAGAGAACTGTACAGCTCTTCTGCTTCGTTGTCAATATAAGGGCTTGGAATTTATATATATGCTCAAGAGTAGTGTTTCAGGAATAAAAACGCATATTGTATGGCAGCAGACATCTAGACTTAAGTCCATTTTGTAGATGCTAAATACTGGTTACATGCCACCTATATATACACATATACATAGCATTGGAGAAGTGAGATGAATAGGATAGTAATTGCAGTCAAGAACAATCTCTGCTCGTGGTCAAATAAGGGAGGCGCATGTAAAAGTATAGCACCAAGTGTGACAGTTGTAACATAACAGGAATGTGCAAGCTATAGCTTGGGCACAGAGAAAAAGGAAGTGAATTTCAGGATGGGAGTCCATCTTATTTGCGTTTTGAAAGACAAGGAAATTTGCCAGGTGAAGAAAGGCTTTGGCCCCGGCCAGTTTGGCTCAGTGGATAGAGCGTCAGCTTGCGGACTGAAGGGTCCCAGGTTCGATTCCAGTCAGGGGCATGTGCCTTGGTTGTGGGCACATCTCCAATAGGAGGTGTGCAGGAAGCAGCTGTTCGAAGTTTCACTCTCATTGATGTTTCTAACTCTGTCCTTCTCCCTTCCTCTCTGTAAAAAAATCAATAATAATAATAATAATTATTATTATTATTATTTTTAAGAAAGGCTCTGCAGGCAATGAGAACAGCAGGTACAAAATCCATAGAGGTACCAAATAGCGTGGTTATGGAAGAATCTACATAGAGATCAAGTCATTGTTAGAAATGAGGAACAATTGTAATTCTTGTCCTTGATGTCCATTTATGTGACCAGATTCTTATTCTTTCTTTTTTTTAGTTTTCTCTCTGCAGTGAATGATTTGACCTCTGACCTTTTTCGTACCAAATCCAAAAATGAAGAACTCAAGCTTGAATTGTCAAAACTTGAAAAAAAATTAACTGCAAGTTTAGTATTAGAAAAATGTCTACGAGAGTAAGTAACTGAATTGGAAATGGTGACAACTTTTATTAAAAGGCAATAATAGGACTTTATCATATTTAGTTTTTAAGAAATGGGGTCCATAAAATGTTTTTTAAAGCAGAAAATTACTTGAATGAAGGTTGGGAATAGACTTTCACCTTTTAATACAGTTTTTCCTTCTTTTTTACAAATAATCTGGGTTTGTTCATTTTTTAAGTGTATGTGAACTTTCTTTTCTTTTTTATAAACTATAGGGAAACTTGAAGTGCATTTTATTTTGTTGCTCTTTTTTTTTTTACACTAGTTCTCTACTATCTCTCTTGATGCTCTGGGCCTTTTGGGACCTCCATAATTCAAATTGGCTTTAGGGTATTTTTTAAAATATATTTTTATTTACTTAAGAGAGGAAAAGAGAGGGAGAGGGGGAGAGATAGAAACATCAATGATGAGAGAGAATCATTGATCATTAATCCCCACTGGAGATCACGCCTGCAACCTGGGCATTGAGCCCTAAACCCAGGAATCAAACCATGACTACTGGTTCATAGATCAATGTCAACCACTGAGCTATGCCAGTTGGGCAGTTTTATGGTATTTTTCAGTCACTTTTTTAAGCAGTGATTTACTTTCTCTAAGAATAATTGGCATAAGTTAACCTTAAAATTATTTCATATTTGTTGAGAAAAACCCAGATGTCAACATTGAGGGGAGGATGACCTAAAAGAATGACTATTGCCCTGACAGGTTTGGCTCAGTAGATAGAACATTGGCCTGCAGACTGAAAGGTCCCAGGTTCGATTCCGGTCAAGGGCATGTATCTTGGTTGCGGGCACATCCCCAGTGGGAGGTGTACAGGAGGCGGCTGACCAATGTTTCTCTTTCATCTACGTTTCTAACTCTCTATCCTTCTCCCTTCCTCTCTGTAAAAAATCAATAAAATACAATTTTTAAAAAGAATGCCTGTTAATTAGTCTGAGATATAAATTTTATGGTAGAAAACCCAGCAACTATGTTATGTATTCTTGTCTAATTCAGAGTTGAATCCAAAAAGTAATAGTGCTTTTTTAAAGTATATATTTTTTTATTGATTTTTTACAGAGAGGAAGGGAGAGAGATAGAGAGCTAAAAACATCGATGAGAGAGAAACATCGACCAGCTGCTTCTTGCACACCCCTTATCAGGTATGTGCCCGCAACCAATGTACATGCCCTTGACCGGAATCGAACCTGGGACCTTTCAGTCTGCAGACCGATGCTCTACCACTGAGCCAAACTGGTTTTGGCTAATAGTGCTTTTTTAAAAATGATAATTTCACTGAGGAGAAAGAAAATGTTTCAATTTTACTTTCTAAAGGGATCTCAAGAAGACGGAGTTGCAGCTGTCTACAGAAAGGGCCAAAGTTAACCATCGTCTTCAGAACATGGACTTCCTAAAAGCAAAGTCAGAGGAGTCCAGGTTTGGAATCAGAGCTTTAGAGGTATGTATGAAGGACTGAAAAATGTTAGGTCTCTTCATACTGCTTTTTGACCATCTTCACAACTAGGCAGTATTACCAATCCTTTTTTACAGACCAGGGAACTACAGAGAAAGTCACTGCCCAAGGTTTCATAGCTGCTTGGTAGATCCAGATTCCCATGCAGGCAGCCAGGCCCCGCAGCTCAGGCTCTTAAGAAGCACTGTGCCGCCGGGACCAGTTTGGCTCAGTGGTAGAGCGTCGGGCTTGGGGACTGAAAGGTCCCGGGTTCGATTCCGGTCAAGGGCATGTACCTTGGTTGCGGGCATATCCCCAGTAGGGGGTGTGCAGGAGGCAGCTGATCGATGACTCTCTCATCGATGTTTTTAACTATCTCTCTCCCTTCTTCTCTGTACAAAATCAATAAAATATATTTAAAAAAAAAAAAAGAAGAAGAAGAAAAAGCACTGTGCCCATGCTGTCACACATCTGTGGCTCTGGGAAGATTGACATGCAACATAAAAGTGTTTAGATACGTGTTTCATCTGTGATTTGTAGCTCCCCGTTACTGGGTTATATGTTGAAACATTTACTAATGATCATTTAGAAAATAATTTCCTTAACCGAACCCCCCTTCTTTGTATCCGCAGGAGAAACTTGCAGCCAGAGGCATGGAGGCTTCTCTGTCTCATCAGTCACTAGTGGAGCTTTCAGAGGTGAGCTTAGTTTAACCCAGTTTAACTTTCTTTAAAATCTTAGTGCACAATCTGCTTTTTCACTTGTTTCTTTTTATAGAGCTTTATTCACTGTTAACCTGATTTCTTTTCCTTTGTCTCTGTACTTTATGTTCATCGGTATTGATAGCTTTATTCCTTGTCTAGCTGTCTATCCTCACATCTGTTTAATTTTCTTTATTACTGTTTGCTAGAAACTCTTTGCTGGAGTCAGTTATACACTATTGATTTATTTATTAAACAAATTTATTGAGGAACTCTGCTAGCCATCTAGGTCTTCCTCCTCCTTCTCTTTCAAAGTACAGTAAAAACGCAGGCCCCAAAACTGCAGAATGTAATTCTGGGTTTTTAGATTTTATAAAGATTTTAACTGTTTTGATGGGAAAAGGCAATAATAAGGACTTTGTGTTATTTTTTTACTCTGTGTGTTTTGTTTGTTTGTTTGTTAATTCTCACCTAGGATATTTTTTCCAATTGATTTTTTTTTTTTAGAGAAAATGGAAGGGAGGGGGACAGACAGAGAGAAAAACATTGCTGTGAGAGAGACACATCGACTGGTTGCCTCTTGAACATGCCCTGACTGGCTGGGAATTGAGCCTGCAACTGAGGTACATGCCCTCAACCAGACTTGAACCCAAGATTCATCAGTCTTCAGCCAACACTCTAACCACTGGGCAAAACCAGCTAGGACCTATACATACGTATATATGTATATATATACACACACACATATTTGTATATAATTTTTTTTTTAAGAGCCCTAGCCCTAGAGGTCCAATGTAAATTAGAGCACTCAGGGGTGGGGTGTCCCTCCGCTCTGCCTGTACCCTCTCTCCATCTGGGACCCCCTCGGGTAGGGTCCGTAGGCCTGGCCTGAGATCAGGGCCTATTGGGGCTTTCCTTCCACCAGCTGCAGGCAGCTGACCCCACCCCCGAAGCTGCCACTGCTTGCCATCTGTGCAACACTGCTCCCCCTCCCCTGCCCACTGGTGGCCTCCCGCTGTAGGTGGCAGGTATGGGGTGCAATGGCTTAGCTGGCCTGGACTTCACTCTGTGGGGCAATCACTGGCCGGCCACACACCTGCCACAGAGTCACAGCCAGTGGCCTGGGCCTCCCTCTTTCTTTGCTGGGGGATGGGGCCAGCTCTGCAAGGGGTTGTCTGCCTACCTGATCGCCCCTAACCACTTGCCTGCCTACTTGATCACTCCTAATCGCTGGTCTGCATACTTGATTGCCCCTAATTACTTGCCTGCCAATTACTTGATCACCCCTAATTACTCTGTCTGCCTGGCTGATCACTCCTAACTGCTTGCTTGGGGCCAGGGCCAGCCAGCTGAGGGATCATGGTGGTTCTGGTCTCTGGTCATTCCAGTCATTACGCTTATGGTGGCTGGCCTTTTATTATACAGGATTATTTCATTGTTTTTCCATCACCATTTATCTCCCCTATATATTTTATTATTCTTAAGATTTTTTTTAAAACCTTACATTTTCTAGGTTTTTTAAAAATATATATGTATATTTTATTGAATTTTTTTTTTTTTTTTAGAGAGAGGGATAAAGAGTTAGAAACATTAATGAGAGAGAATCATTGATCAGCTGCCTCCTGCACACCCCCTACTGCGGATGCACCTGCAACCAACGTACATTACCTTGACCAGAATCGAACCTGGGACCTTTTGGCTCTATACACTGAGCCAAACCGTTTTCGGCTTAAGATTTTTTTTATACATACTTTAATTTTTGAAATCTAAAGTTGACAATTCATAAAATATGTATTTGAGATTCTAATTGTTCCCTTACATTTCAGTTCCTCTTAATCACATTATTTTGGGTTCCTAGACAGCATACTTAAATCCTATTTTTAGTAAATGGGAGTAAAACTTTTCTACTTTAAGCGTCTTATAAAGACTGTTTCCATTGTAAGTGAGTTTATCTGTTATCTTGAAACTCTTTATTTGACCCATTATTTTAAATTCCTAGTGTTAATGCTTTACTATGTTTTACTTCAGAAATGAGCAGTATTTAATTGTGAATATCTCTATTACTCTATGACTGTTTTTTTTTCATCCCCAGAAACTGGAAGAACTAAAACAACAGACTATACCTTTGAAGAAAAAATTGGAATCCTATTTAGATTTAATGCCGGTAATCATTTTTATGAATTAAAAAAAAGCAGATGTCTTTTTTAGTATGCACTAAATGACCATGAAAATAGTGAATCCATGCTTAAGGATTTAAAATTCAAGCTGAATTTCAATGGGTATACCCTCTGTAAGATTTTTTTACTTTTGAAAGCATCATTGCAATTTTTTCCCCTCAAGCCCTAATTGAGGTAATATCATATAACCTTTCCTTATTTTGTTTTTCACTAAAAGGATCCATCTCTTGCTCAAGTGAAAATTGAAGAAGCAAAGCGAGAATTAGTAAGTTTTGCTGTTTTCTTCAGCTTTTAAAAAAGAAGTAAAATAAATGCTGATATAGCTAAAGCTCCCTTCATCTTTCTTTCTTCCTGCTCAAGAGCCAAAAATGGAGGGCTTTCCAAGCTTAGGGAAACAATGAGGTCCAGCTGCTTGGGAGTATTCAGTGGAAGATGGGACTGCAGAAGGCCAATTGGTTTAAGATGTAAAGGGCCTTTGGTGTAAAGAGGGTGGATTCTGTAGGAGACCAGGGAAAGTTGCAATTACAGAAGTACATTGTTTAAGGAATAAAGGTCAGGAAAATCTACTCCTGTATCATTCATTATACTAAATCATCTCTCTAAGGCTTTTCCCCTTTAGATGTTGATTACAATCAGGAGTCTGAAAACTTCTGGGGTTTGGAAAAAGGGAGAGATGTAAAAGGGAATGTCTAAAAGCATATTTCATATTTATAATGTTTTTTAATTTTTGTTTTCATGTGTTTTTGTTTTTGTTTTGAATTTCCCTTATTTTAAATAGGGGTAGAAGTTAGAGAACCTATTTTATGTCCTTCTTTATAGTATTTTCTTTGTTTCCTTCTTCCTTTAGGCTACCATTGAAGCTGAACTCACAAAGGAAGTAGAAATGATGGAACTGTGACCAGAGCCAAATAAACTTGGTGCTCCCAAAGAAAGCAAATTAAATAGGACTTTCATCTTAAGATGAAAAACACCTTAAGAGTAATAAAATATATAGGGGGGAATACATGATGATGGAAAAAATAAAATAAAAAAATATATATTTAAAAGGACTTTGTTTCCTCTTAGCATTCCTTGATAACTTAATGTGTGTGTTCTTAGCTGAAATAATGTCACAATTGATAGGATAGTGGTTTCGGCTATGTATTGCATTTTTGTGCCCAAATACATAGTTTTCAGAATAAAAATGTTGGTTCCTTATATTATTGGTGGTTCAGTGTCCTTCAGTGGTCCTATTAGGTGAATACGATGATAGTTGTCATGTGGTCACTCATTAGGTCAGTTAAGCGAGAAGGAAAGGTTCTCTAATTCCATTTATTTTTCTTCCCTCTCCAGGGGTTTGCTTTCTGATCAGCTCACCTGCCTACCTCCAAATGTTAATATATGCAGGAATTTAATTTATGAAAAAGATGGCCTTTAAAGTCAGTGGTAGAGACAAGCAAAATAGAGACAGACTTATAGATAGAGGAAAGTCAGACAACTCTGGAGGGATAGAGCTAAAAAAGAACTATGGACATGGACAACAGTGGTGGTTGTGGGGGAAGAGGAGGGTGCGTGGACGTGGAAGAGGGCATAGAAGGGATAAATGGTGATGGAAAGAATGAAATCAGTGGAGGACAAATGGGTAATTGAACACATGGTGTTAAATCCATAGTCATATCATATATCGGGATAGTTACAAAGGGTCAGAGATTTAAATATTTTTAAAAGTACAAGAAATCATGGAGGAGTTTTAATGTTTTGACTTTGAAATAATCATAGAGTCAGAAACATGACAAAAATCCAGGAACCACAAATGAAATTTTTGAAATATTTAAAATTCCTTCATGGGGAGGGGAGGGCAATGTTAAAATATGTACACAGATAATTTAATAAGAATATATTTTTTTTAAATTTCTGTATGGCAGAATCTCATGGATATGACAAATGTGCAGGGAAGAAGGAAGAGAATTTTCCACTGCACATTTTTGTATATTTAAAAGTTTCATACCATGTGATTAGGAAGCAATTTGTTTTTTGAAAATTATCTAAATGACCTTCAAAATTTTCGCCCAAGCCAATTTTGCTCAATGGTTAGAGCATTGGCCTGTGGACTGAGGATTCCTGGGTTCGATTCTGGTCAAGGACACATGCCCGGGTTGCGGGCTTAATTCCCAGTAGGGGGCATGCAGGAGGCAGCTGATCAATTATTCTCATCGTTGATGTTTCTATCCTGCTCCCTTCTTTCTGAAATCAAAGTATATTTCTAAAAAATTTCCTTCCTTCCCTTTTCCACAAATATGTGGCTAAATATAATACAAAAAAAAATTGCATTTCCATTTTTTGAAACTGTCCATATTCTTTAGTCATTTAGGTACCGTGGTTTGGTCTTTTAATTTATAAGAGTTCCTTAGATAATAGCTAAACTAATATTTTATTCCACCAGACTATATTCAGGATCCCAAATTTTCATCTAGGCCTGTTTGTGCCCTTCCTTGTCAAACCCACTTTTAGCTAGAACTGCATAAGCAGGTAATATGTGGTGAATACTGAATTACCTTCTGGGGGAAACTAAGTCAGTAATTTCTGGCCAGACAATTCATATACGTAAATTAAGTTCTGTAGGGTTCAAAGATTCAAACTCAACAGATGAGATAATAAGTATATTAGAAAAGCCACTGGAAAATTTTTGAATCTTAAAGAAGTGGCATAATGAGTAGGTTTAAGAAATACATGTCTAAAAGGCTTCAGAAATAAGACAGATAAACCAAACAAATAAGACTGAAAAGAAAACTACAAGTACTTTGCATAAAAATAAGACATCAAATTTAAGGACAGGGTGTCCACAGAGCAGGATTAGTTTAATTGCTACTGGTTTTCACAAGATAAAATGAGCAGTGTTTCTTGCCCTTCTCTAGTTTTGATCACGGATTTTTTTTCTTCCTAACCCATTGAGACAAATTGGCAACCAATTTTCACTCAGCTTTCCAGCTGCTCTATCCCATGCCATTTATGACTCAGCACATTCCTAATGGGAAGACCCTGCTCAGCTCCTAGAATTTCCCTTCTCTCTGGAATATTGGATCCTCAAATTCTAACTGCCTGGCAGTTTTCTGATGCCTTCAGACAGATTTTTTTTCTCATTTATCTAGCTTTTCTAGTAATAAGCAAAAGGGTTAATGCACCACATACATTAATTACCGTTTTTTTTAAATATATTTTTTATTGATTTTTTCAGAGGAGGAGAGAGGGATAGAGAGCTAGAAACGTCGATGAGAGAGAAACATCGACCAGCTGCCTCTTGCACAACCCCTACCGGGGATGTGCCCGCAACCAATGTACATGCCCTTGACCAGAATCGATCCTGGGACCTTTCAGGCTGCAGACCAACGCTCTACCACTGAGCCAAACCGGTTTCAGCATTAATTACCGTTTCAGTTTACATCCTTTCATAGGAAGCAAATATCATTTCACAGACATCTATATTATAAACCAATCAGACATCTATATTATAAAAGCCTAAGCAGCCGAAGCCAGCGTGGCTCAGTGGATAGAACATCAGCCTGTGGACTGAAGGGTCCCAGGTTTGATTCCCGGTCAAGGGCATGTATCTTGGTTGCAGGCACATCCCCAGTAGGAGGTGTGCAGGAGGCAGCTGATAGATGTTTCTCATTGATGTTTCTAACTCGATGCCTCTCCCTTCCTCTCTGTAAAAAGTCAATAAAATATATTTATAAAAAGAAAATAATAATTAAGCCTAAGCAACCGTCACGGCGGAATGGCCAGGACAATCGGTCGCTATGATGCTCACTGACTACCAGGGGGCAGATGCTCAAAGCAGGAGCTGCCCCCTGGTGATCAGTGCACTCCCACAGGGGCAGCATCGCTTAGCCAGAAGCCAGGCTCACGCTGATGAGCGCAGTGGCAGTGGCAGGAGCCTCTCCCACCTCCACAGCAGCACTAAGGAGCAGCGAGCGAGCCAAGCAGTAAGGAGCGAACAGGTGGGCAGTAAGGAGCAAGGGATCCCAGATTTCGAAAGGAATGTCCGCCTGCTGGCTTACATTATTGTTGTGTAAACCCGCAGGCAGATATCCCCCGAGGGGTCCCAGAGTATGAGAGGGCACAGGCCTGGCTGAGGGACAACCCCCCCACCAGTGCCCAAATTTTGTGCACCATGCCTCTAGTATATTTATAACTGACTTACAAACCTCAGCAACTCGCTGGACATATAAAGTGCAAACACTAATTCATTTTTTTATCTCCTTTATCATTCACTTGGGAAGCAGGTAACAACATAGCAACATTAGGTACCAGATGAAAACCCTCCACACGTTTGGCTCATCTTAATAAAATCATTGTCCAAGGGAGAAAATGCCTGAAGGAAAATATCCAGTCTCGCTCTGAGCAACAGTATCTATTTGGAATAAAACGGATTTCTCGGGAAAGTTATGAAGGGGGTATGGCTGGGGACCTCAAAGATGGCCTCCAATGACCTCTGCTTTCTGGTATCTTCTTCTTCGTCTAAACCCCTCACCTTAAGTGTGGGCTGAGCTTACTGACTTCCTGTGACAAAGAGAACTCATTCTGCGGCCGGAGAACACAGAGGCCCATGGGGAGCAGCCTAGCTTTCCTCCTCCCTGGAGCAGCAGGATCGGGCCTGTGATTCCTGGCTTGTGATGGGGGACCCAAGTTCCAGAGACAGAACAGGACTTGTCTGGGGCCAGGCAGCAGTTATGCCATCATCTGAAGGCCTTTTTTTTCCTGCAGCTTCTGGGCGGGATCAGGCTTGGCTCAGGGATGTCCCACCCAGTCTTGCCCACCTGGACAGCAAGGATGCTGCCGGCTACCAGCACCCTCAAATCTCAGCATCCTCTCACCATCCTGTGTAAGCATAAGGGGAGCCACATGGAGTAAGGCTTCGCCTTAGGCAACCAAGAGCGTTTTAAACTTGCTCTGATCAGGTGCATGTGAATTAAATGTACTAGCTGAGAAAAAAAGAGAGAGAGAGAGAGAGAGAGAGAGAGAGAGAGAGAGAGAGAGAGAGAGAGAGAGAGAGAGAACTCATGGGAAATAGTTATGCTAAACCTTTGTTGTTTTTCTGAAATTCAAATTTAATTAAGTATCTTGTATTATTATTTGCAAAACTGGCAACCAGTTTGCATTCTCAACACTGATAGTTTCTCTAAACTAGAATCCCAGTTGTGAACAGCCAATGTTATAGAAATCTTGACAATGGGAGTCAACTTTGATTGGTCATTCATGCAGCTAAAAAGTGGAAAGAGACTGGATTTTGAACCCAGCTGCTTATTGAATTCTCTTGATGTTCTAATACTTTTTTTTCCATCTGATTCTCTTAGCTTTTCCAGGTATGTAATGATTCCAGATGCAAATAATGATACATTTACTTCCTCATCAGTTTTGGTCCTTTTAGTATTTCCTTGGGAGGTATTATCTTGTTATGGTGACACCAATGTGGTAATTACCGTAACAGTAAATGTTTTAGTCATTATTGTTGTGTAACCAACTATCCCCAAACTGGCATAAAACAGTCGCAGATTCTGTATGTGAGGAATCTGGACAGGACACAGGCGACATGGCTTCCTTTTGCTCCTTACTATCTGGAGCCTCCAGTTTGGAAAATGTAAAGGCTGAAGATGAGTCAGTACCTGAAGGACAGAATCATCAGATGTCTTCACGCGCATGTCAGACAGTTTTCGTTGGCTGTTGTCCAGAGTCTATGGTTAAAGCACTTACACGTGGCCCCTCCGAGTGGTCTCTCCATGGTCGCTAATTTGGGTTTCTTCCCAACAGGGTGGCTGGTTTTTAACAGTGAACATCTCAACAGAGGAAGGCAGAAGTGTATAGCATTTTTATGATCTAACCTTAAAAGTCACAAAGTATCCATCATACTGTATCATTCGAAGCAGTCACAAAAGTCCACCCACAGAGTCAGGGGAAAGGGACATGGACTGTCCACACGGGGGTG